CAAAAAATTAGCTGCACATCGTGGCGCATGTCTGTGGTCCTGGCTACACTGGAGATTGAGGCAGGAGGATGACCTGAGCCCAGGAGGTTGAGGCTGCAGTGAACCACGTTTGTGATACTGCACTCCAGCCTGGGCAACAGAGCGAGACCCCAACTAAAAAAAAAGAGACTGTTAAGGGTATTTTTTTTTTTTGAGACAGAGTTTCGCTCTTGTTACCCAGGCTGGAATGCAATGGCGTAATCTCGGCTCACCGCAACCTCTGCCTCCTGGGTTCAGGCAATTCTCCTGCCTCAGCCTCCTGAGTAGCTGGGATTACAGGTACGTGCCACCACGCCCAGCTAATTTTTTGTATTTTTAGTAGAGATGGGGTTTCACCATGTTCACCAGGATGGTCTCGATCTCTTGACCTCGTGATCCACCTGCCTCGGCCTCCCAAGTGCTGGGATTACAGGCTTGAGCCACCACGCCCGGCCTGTTAAGGGCCCGGCTAGGCACAGTGGCTCACGCCTGTATTCTCAGCACTTTGGGAGGCTGAGGCAGGCAAATCACCTGAGGTCAGGAGTTTGAGACCAGCCTGGCCAACATGGTGAAACCCCATCTCGACTAAAAATACAAAAATTAGCCGGGTGTGGTGGCACGGGCCTACAATCCCAGCTACTCAGGAGGCTGAGGCAGGAAAATCGCTTAAACCCGGGAGATGGAGGTTGCAAAGAGCCGAAATTGTGCCACTGCACTGCAGCCTGGATGACAGAGACTTCTGTGTGCCTGGCATGCATGGATGATAACATTGACAGAAACAGGGACCACAAATCAACACCTACTGATCACTAGCTAATATCTAGACATTGTCCTGGGCCCTGGAAATACAAAGAAACTCCTCAGGGAGCTCTTGGCCCAATAGGATATGGAGTTGTACAGATGGTGTGACAGGTTCTATAGTGACTGTATGAACAAAATGTTACAGGAATGTAGTGCAGAGAGCGATACCTTCTGTAGAGTTCAGTGGCTGCAGATACTTTCTTTATAAAACCATTCATGGCTGGGTGCGGTGGCTCACACCTATAATCCCAGCACTTTGGGAGCCTGAGGCAGGTGGATCACAAGGTCAAGAGATCGAGACCAGCCTGGCCAACATGGTGAAACCCCATCTCTACTAAAAATACAAAAATTAGCTGGGCATGGTGGTGCACGCCTGTAGACCCAGCTACTCGGGAGGCTGAGGCAGGAGAATTGCTTGAACCCAGAAGGCGGAGGTTGCGGTGAGCCGAGATTGTGCCATTGCACTCCAGTCTGGGTAACAACAGCGAAACTCCATCTCAAAAAAATAAAAAATAAAATAAAACCATTCATGCAGTTTGGTTCTTGGCCTTGTCACTCAACTGCTATTTCACTTTAGGGAAGTTACTTAAGCTTCTGTTTCCCAAACTGTAAAATAGGGATGATAACAGCTAATTTGAATGGTTGAGGATGAATATGTGTAAAGCACTTAGCAAAAAAGTATCAGCTGTTACTCTAATTGGTTTGATTTCAGCAAAGTTCAGAGTCTGCCTGGAGTGGGGGCTGGATGAACAACTCCAGGCAGAGGGAATGAAATGAACAGTGGGCCACACACTAATTGAAAACCTAATATGGGCCAGGCATGGTGGCTCACACCTGTAATCCCAACACTTTGGGAGGGTGAGGTGGGCAGGTCTCTTGAGTATAGGCGTTTGAGACCAGCTTGGCCAACCTGGTGGAACCCCATCTCTACAAAACATATAGAAAAGTTAGCTGGGAGTGGTGACTCACACCTGTAATCCCAGCTACTCGGGAGGCTCAGGTGACAGGATTGCTTGAGCCTGGGAGGTAAAAGTTGCAGGGAGCTGAGATCATGCCACTGCACTCCAGCCTAGGTGACAGAGCAAGATCCTATCAAAAAAAAAAAGAAAGAAAGAAAAGAAAACCTAAGGCCAGGCTCAATGGCTCACGCCTGTAATCCCAGCACTTTGGGAGGCTGAGGTGGGCAGATCACCTGAGGTCAGGAGTTCAAGACCAGCCTGGCCCACATGGCAAAAACCCATTTCTACTAAAAAATATAAAAATTAGCAGGGGGCCGGGCACGGTGGCTCACGCCTGTAATCCCAGCACTTTGGGAGACCGAGGCAGGTGGATCACGAGGTCAAGATATCGAGACCATCCTGGTCAACATGGTGAAACCCTGTCTCTACTAAAAATGCAAAAAAAATTAGCTGGGCATGGTGGCGTGTGCCTGTAATCCCAGCTACTCAGGAGGCTGAGGCAGGAGAATTGCCTGAACCCAGGAGGCGGATGTTGTGGTGAGCCGAGAACGCACCGTTGCACTCCAGCCTGGGTAACAAGAGCGAAACTCCGTCTCAAAATATATATATAAATTAGCTAGGTGTGGTGGCACCTGTAATCCCAGCTACTCGGGAGGCTGAGGCAGGAGAATTGCTTGAACGCAGGAGCCAGAGGTTGCAGTCAGCCAAGATCACAGTACTGCACTCCAGCCCAGGCAACAGAATGAAATTCTGTCTCAAAAAAAAAAAAAAAAAAAAACAGAAAGAAGGAAAACCTAATGTGTGCTAGAAGCTTGAGATCCAAAGATGACTATGGATTATGACCTATTCTCAGAGAGGAAAATAGAGAACAGTTCTATTTTTTTTTTTTTTTTTTTTGAGTTGGAGTTTTGCTCTTGTTGCCCAGGCTGGAGTGCAATGGCATGATCTCAGCTCACTGAAACCTCCACCTCCTGGGTTCAAGTGATTTCTCCTGCCTCAACTTCCCAAGTAGCTGGGATTACAGGCATGTCCCTCCATGCCCAGCTAGTTTTGTATTTTTAGTAGAGACAGGGTTTCGCCATGTCGGTCAGGCTGGTCTCAAACTCCCGACCTCAGGTGATCCATCTGCCTCAGCCTCTTGGAGAGCTGGGATTACAGGTGTGAGCCACCTTGCCTGGCCTGAATAGTTCTATTTTAATGTTCTATGAGTTTACATAATAGGAAAGCAGTGAAAGATGAAGATAGAGTGTAAGTTTATTCAGCCAGGTGTGGTGGCTCATGCCTGTAATCCCAGCACTTTGGGAGGCCAAGACAGGTGGATCGTGAGGTCAGGAGATAGAGACCATCCTGGTGAACACGCTGCAACCCCATCTGTACTAAAAATGCAAAAAAATTAGTAGGGCATGGTAGCACGTGCCTGTAGTCCCAGGTACTCAGAGGGGCTGAGGCAGGAGAATCGCTTGAATCCGGGAGGCAGATGTTGCAGTGAGTCAAGATCACAACACTGCACTCCAGCCTGGCAACAGAACAAGACTCCGACTCAAAAAAAAAAGAATGTATATTCATTTGTTCCACAAACATTTCCTGGGTATCCATCAGGTACCAGGTACTTGTGCTGGGAAATAGAAGAGAGTATAAATGGTCAGCCTGCCCACACTATACTTACTTGCAGAGCTACCTAACTTGGACTTTCAGAGGACAAAGCCTAGAGTTATTAGATCTGAACTTGAATTCATGTCTGAAGATATAGAGGTCCCTTCAGGGATGCAAGGGGGAGGGGCAGAGGTAACTATGAAAACATAATGGATGTCTCAAGCCTGTAGTCCTAGCACTTTGGGAGGCCGAGGCAGGTGGATCACGAGGTCAAGAGATCGAGACCATCCTGGTCAACAAGGTGAAACCCCGTCTCTACTAAAAATACAAAAATTAGCTGGGCTTGGTGGTGTGAGCCTGTAATCCTAGCTACTTGGGAGGCTGAGGCAGGAGAATTGCTTGAACTCAGGAGACGGAGGTTGTGGTGAGCCGAATAGCACCATTGCACTCCAGCCTGGGTAACAAGAGCAAAACTCGGTCTCAACAAAAAAAAAAGAAACTCCTTCCTTTGTCGAAGCAAACAAGCCCCAAATATCATGTGACTGATTGGCCATGATTAGTTGGAATTAATAAGCACGGGAGTTTTGACCAGCTCCGTTTCCTCGTGATCCACCCGCCTCAGCCTCCCAAAGTGCTAGGATTACAGGCTTGAGCCACGGCGACCGGCCATCCATTATGTTTTCATAGTTACCTGCCCCTCCCCCTTGCATGTAAATGGATTATGGTGTCACTGTTAATATAAACTCTACATTTAACACAATGACCAAGCAAGAGCCCTTTTTTGCAGGGCAATTGGTTTGTTGTTGTTGTTGTTACCTTTTTTTTTTTTTTTTTTTTCAGAGACGGGGTCTCCCTATGTTGCCCAGGCTGGAGTGCAGTGGCTTTTCACAGGCACAATCCAACTACTGATCAGCACGGGAGTTTTGACCAGCTCCATTTCCGACTTGGGCCGGTTCACCCCTCCTTAGGCAACCTGGTGGTTCCCGGCTCCCAGGAGGTCACCATATTGATGCCAAACTTAGTGCGGACACCTGATCAGCACAGCGAACTACAGGCCAAAATTCCTGGGCTCCTGATCCCCCAGCCTCAGCCTTCCGATTAGCTGGGACTACAGGCACGCGCCACTGCGCCTGGCTTATTTTTCTTTTTCTTTTGAGATGGAGTCTCATTCTGTTGCCCAGGCTGGAGTGCAGTTGTCCGATCTCTGCTCACTTTACCTCCGCCTCCCGAATTCAAGTGATTCTCCTGCCTCAGCCTCCCACGTAGCTGGGATTACAGGTGTGTGCCACCACACCTGGCTAATTTTAGTTTTTGTTTTGTTTTTGAGACGAAGTTTCGCTCTTGTTACCCAGGCTGGAGTGCAATGGCGCGATCTCGGCTCACCGCAACCTCCGCCTCCTGGATTCATGTAATTCTCCTGCCTCAGCCTCCTGAGTAGCTGGGATTACAGGCATGTGCCACCATGCCCAGCTAATTTTTTTTTGTATTTTTAGTAGAGACGGGGTTTCACCATGTTGACCAGGATGGTCTCGATCTCTTGACCTCGTGATCCACCCGCCTCGGCCTCCCAAAGTGCTGGGATTAAAGGCAAGAGCCACCACTCACAGCCGGTTTTTTTTTTTAAAGAAAGTAACTAGAAATTGTTGTTTTGTTGAGACAGAGTCTCACTCTGTCGCCACTGCACCCAGCTTGGCATTAATATGTACAAATGCCTTAAATATATAACTTCCTGGGCCAGGTGCAGTGGCTGTAACCTCAGCACTTTGGGAGACCGAGATGGGAGGACTGTGTGAGTTTAGGAGTTCAAAGCCAGCCTGGGCAACATAGCAAGAACTTGTCTCTACTAAAAGTCAGAAAGGTTAACTGGGTATGGTGGTGTGCACCTGTCGTCCCAGCTTAAAAAATAAAAAGATAATGTACATGTGCATGTATCATAGGAAGATGTAGAGAATACAAGAACTGACAAAAGCAGATTCCCAAAGTTATGGTGTGACCTTTTTTTTTTTTTTTTTTTGAGACAGAGTCTTGCTCTGTTGCCCAGGCTGTAGTGCAAAGGCACGATCTCTGCTCACTGCAACCTCTGTCTCTGGCTACCTCAGCCTCCTGAGTAACTGGGATTACAGGCATGGGCTGACATGCTAATTTTTGTATTTTTGGTAGAGACTGGGTTTCACCCTGTTGGTCAGGCTGGTCTCGAACTCCTGACCTCATGATCCACTGGATCATGTGATCTGCTGGGATTATAGTTGTGAGCCACTTCCCCCAGCCACATTTTATAATTTTTCTATGAGAGCATGTGTTGGTTGTATAATAAATAGATAAATTATTTATTTCTTTTTTAGACAGGATCTCACTGTCACCCATGCTAAAGTGCAGTAATGCCATAATGACTCACTGCAGCTTCAAACTCCTGGACTCAAGTGATCCTCCTGCCTCAGCCTCCCCTCCCAACTATCTGGGACGACAGGTGTGTGTCACGACGCCCAGCTAATTTTTTTTTTGTGTGTGTGTGGAAACAGAGTCTCACTGTGTTGCTCAGTCTGGTCTCAAACTCCAGGCCTCAAGTGATCCTCCCACGTTGGCCTCCCAAAGTGCAGATATTACAGACATGAGCCACTGCCAGGCCTATATGTTATATATTTTATTTTTTTATAGAAATGGGGTCTTACGGGCCGGGCGCGGTGGCTCACGCCTATAATCCCAGCACTTTGGGAGGCCGAGGCGGGTGGGTCACGAGGTCAAGAGATAGAGACCATCCTGGTCAACAAGGTGAAACCCGTCTCTACTAAAAACACAAAAATTAGCTGGGCATGGTGGCGCACGCCTGTAGTCCCAGCTACTCGGGAGGTGAGGCAGGAGAATTGCTTGATCCCAGGAGGCAGAGGTTGTGGTGAGCCAAGATCAAGCCATTGTACTCCAGCCTGGGTAACAAGAGGGAAACTCGGTCTCAAAAAAAAAAAAAAAAAAAAAGGAAAATGGGGTCTTACTATGTTGACCAGGCTGGTCTTGTTCTCCTGGCCTCAAGCAATCCTCCCACAGCACTGGGATTACAGGCATGAGCCACCATGCCCGGCCTTTTTTTCTTGAAACATGTTACTCTTTCAAAGGTTTTTGAACAACTCAGAGATCAGGGTCCCAACCCAAAGTGGGTTAATGTCATGGAGGGTATGAAGAAAAGGGGACCAATTTGTCTGATGGATAGGCCGGACTTGGAAACACTTGTGGGGAGGAGGGTCAGAGCAGTTCAGAATTTTAACTAAGACCATAGAGATGCTCAGCCTGGGGAAAGATACAGGAGGAAGTCAGTCGTGGAGTGCTCAGGGGTACCATGATCCCTGCCCTTTGCTTATTTTATTTTATTTGTTTATTTTTGAGATAGAGTTTTCACTCTGTTACTCAGGCTGGAGTTCAGTAGCGCAATCTCAGCTCGCTGCAACCTATGCTTCCTGGATTCAAGCAATTCTCCTGCCTCAGCCTCCAGAGTAGTTAGGATTACAAGCACGCCCCACCACACCCAGCTAATTTTTGTATTTTTAGTAGAGATGGGGTTTCACCGTGTTGGCCAGGCTGGTCTCAAACTCCTGACCTCAAGTGATCTGCCCGCCTCGGCCTCCCTAAGTGCTGGGATTACAGGTATGAGCTACCTTACCCGGCCTCCCTTTTTTCTTTTTCTTTCTTTTGTTTTTGAGATGGAGTTTCACTCTTGTTGCCCAGGCTGGAGTGCACTGGTGCAATCTCAGCTCACTGCAATCTCCACCTCTGGGGTTCAAGTGATTCTCTTGTCTCAGCCTCCCGAGTAGTTGAGATTACAGATGCCTACTACCATGCCCAGCTAATTTTTGGCATTTTTAATAGAGATGGGGTTTCACCATGTTGGCCAGGCTGGTCTCAAACTCCTGACCTCAGGTGACCCACATGCCTCAGCCTCCCAAAATATTGGGATTACAGGCATGAGCTACTGCGTCCAGCATTTTTTGAGTTTTGAGACAGTTTCAGTCTTGTTGCTTAGCCCGAAGTGCAACGGCACGATCTCTGTTCACTGCAACCTCCGCCTCCTGGGTTCAAGGGATTACAGGCATATGCCACCACACCCGACTAATTTTTGCATTTTTAGTATAGATGGGGTTTCATCATCTTGGCCAGGCTATTCTCCGACTCCTGACCTCAGGTGATCTGCCTATCTCAGCCTCCCAAAGTGCTGGGATTACAGGCATGAGCCACCATGCCCAGCCCCCTTTGCTTATGTCTAAGTAGTCTGCTTCCTGCATTTTTAGCACAAGTGCTGTGTGTTGCACTTGCTTGTGGCTGTCTCTCTCCTGAGAGGGTCACTTGATTCACTGTGTCCAGATTCTTAGCAGTCCCTAGATCTGAGCTGTGGTATCACCACGCCCCTCAGGTCATGTGATGATATTAAGTAGCATTTTGTATGAGCTCATTTCCTATGCTAGGTGCTGTACTAAGAGCTTTATGTACATTAACCCATATAGAGGTAGATTTTTTTTTTTAATAGAGACGTGGTTTTACTATCTTGGCCAGGCTGGTCTTGAAACCCTGGCCTCGTGATCCACCCTCCTCAGCCTCCCAAAGTGCCGGGATTACAGGCCTGAGCCACGGTGCCCAGCCCCTATGAGGTAGATTTTTTAAAAAACATTTTTTTTTTTTTTTAGATGGAGTCTCACTCTATGGCCCAGGCTGGAGTGCAGTGGCACAGTCTTGTCTCACTGCAACTTCCACTTCCCAGGTTCAAGCAATTCTCCTGCTTCAGTCTCCCAAGTAGCTGGGATTACAGGCACACCACTGCACCTGGATGATTTTTGTATTTTTAGTAGAGACAGGGTTTCACCATGTTGGCCGTGCTGTTCTTGAACTCCAGATCTCCAGTGATCCACCCGCCTCGGCCTCCCAAAGTGCTGGTATTATAGGCGTGAGCCACTGCAACTGGTCTGAGGTAGATTTGTTTGTCTGAGACAAGGTCTTGCTCTGTTGCCTAGGCCAGAGTGCAGCGGCACAATCTTGGCTCACAGCAACCTCTGCCTCCTGGGTTCAAGCAATTCTCCTGCCTCTCAAGTAGCTAAGATTACAGGCATGCACCACCATGCCTGGCTAATTTTTGTATTTTTGATAGAGACAGGGTCTCCTCATGTTGGTCAGGCTGGTCTTGAACTCCTGGCCTTCAGTGATCTGCCCGCCTCAGTCTCCAAAAGTGTTGGGATTTCAGGCATGAGCCACTGCACCCAACCAGGCGCAGGGGATTTAAAGAAGGGACAATGACCCTGCCTATGGTAGGTGGGGAGATTGCATAGAGGCAGAGCCCTTTGAACGAAACTCTTGAAGGATGAGTAAGAGTTCACCTGATTTGAAAAAAGGAAAAGCTCAATGTGAGTAGACAGCCAAGGATGTTTGGATGAATGACAGATGGGTTGATGAGGCCAGCTGAGGGAGGCTTCGGTGTCCAGGTCAGAATTCAGACTTGACTCAGTCACTGGGGCGTCCCTGAAAGATTCTGAGCAGCAGAGTTCCTTGGCCAGGATTCTGAAGGAAAATCTCTGCAGCAGCGGTGTCCAAAGGCATGGTAGAGTCCTCTGATGAATCCATTCCCTAAGCTGGAAAATGGATGGCCTCACCCACCCCCAATCTCATCGTGGCTACTGGTCATGAGAACTTTTATCTTTTTCTTTTTTTGAAACAGGGTCTTGCTGTGTTGCCCAGACTGGAGTGTAGTGGTGCGATCAGAGCTCACTGCAGCCTTGATCTCCTGGGCTCATGCAATCCTCCCACCTCAGCCTCCCCAGTAGCTGGGACTACAGGATTGCATCATCATACCTGACTAATTTTTTTTTTTTTTTTGAGATGGAGTTTCACTCTTGTTGCCCAGGCTGGAGTCCAATGGTGCGATCTCAGCTCACCACAACCTCTGCCTCTTGGGTTCAAGGGATTTTCCTGCCTCTGCCTCCAGAGTAGATGGGATTATAGGCATGCACCACCACATCCAGCTAATTTTATATTTTCGGTAGAGATGAGATTTCTCCATGTTGATCAGGCTGTCTTGAACTCCTGAACTCTCGACCTCAAGTTATCCACCCACCTTGGCCTCCCAAAATTCTGGGATTACAGGCATGAGCCACCACACCCGACATGCCTGGCTAATTTTTTAAATTTTTTGTAGAGATGGTTGGGGGGCATGTCCCTCTGTTGCCCAGGCTGGTCTGAGCTCCTTGGCTCAAGCAATCCTCCCACCTCTGCCTCCTAAAGTACTGAGATTACAGGCGTGAGCGACCTTGCCCGGCCTGGGAACCGTTTTTTAACCAGCTCATCCAAACCTTCATCTCCACTGGGCACGGTGGCTCAGGCCTGTAATGCCAGCCCTTTGGGCGGCTGAGGCAGGCAGATCACTTGAGGTCAGGAGTTTGAGACCAGCCTGGCCAACATGGCGAAACGCTGTCTCTACTAAAAATACAATTCGCCAGGTGTGGTGGTAAGTACCTGTGATCCCAGCTACTCAGGAGGCTGAGGCAGGAGAAGCACTTGAACCTGGGAGGCGGAGGTTGCAGTCAGCCAAGATCACAACACTGCACTCCAGTCTGGGCAACAGAGTGAAACTTCGTCTCAAAAAAAAAAAACCAAAAAAAAACCCTTCATCTCACCTGCTAACAAAGGCTGTCTGCTTTCTTCCTCTCTGCACATACCCCATGTCTCACCACAGTGATGGGGCTGCAGTGGCACTTGGAATCCAGATGTGTGAAGAATGGAGGGGTTGAAGGTGCGTGGAGGGGTGATAGGACAAGGGGTCCAGGAGGCGGTAACCCCAGGTTTCTTGGCCTTGGCCTTCCCTACCTCTCTGGGACTGGGCCAGCTTGAGCATCTCAGCTGCCTCTTCTGCCCGCCCCCTCTTTAGCCGCAGTCAACTTCCTCCCCCACCACAGGAAGTGGGGTGAGACAGCAGGTGCAGTGACGGCTGGCGGAGCCATGGTGAGTCCTTAAGCCCAGAAACCTGGGCATCTTGGTCCCCAACCCCCTATGCCCAGGGTCACAGACCCTGCTGACTCTTCCTAGCCCAAGACCTCAAGTGATGCTGGGGGACCCTGCCTGCCATTGCCAACAGCTTCGTATTGTCCACCCCCATCCACAGGACAAGGAGTACGTGGGTTTTGCTGCCCTCCCCAACCAGCTGCACCGCAAGTCCGTCAAGAAGGGGTTTGACTTCACGCTCATGGTGGCAGGTCTGGGGGTTTTGGAGAGGGAACTGTGGAGGGGATGTCCTTAGGAGACCCTGGCTGTCCTCTCCCCTGACCAGCTGGGCCTGTTCTGTCCACAGGGGAGTCAGGCCTAGGGAAATCTACCCTCATCAACAGTCTGTTCCTCACCAACCTCTATGAGGATCGCCAGGTGCCAGAGGCCAGTGGTAAGACCCTCACCACCCTCTCCAGGCAGTAGCCCCTGTCCCCATCCCCTGTCCCTGGGTTACATCCTAGTCTTTTCCATCTGGGGACTCAGGTAGCTGACTTTTTTTCTGAGACCTTCCTCCCCTGGAAAACGGGTGCAGGCAGCTGTGAAATTGACAAAGTAAATTAATCCTGTCTCAGAGCCTCCCTGGATCCCTGACCTCTCTCCCATCTCAAAGCTCGCTTGTCACAGACTCTGACCATTGAGCGCCGGGGTGTGGAGATCGAGGAGAGGGGTGTGAAGGTGAAGCTGACCGTGGTGGACACGCCTGGCTTTGGGGACTCGGTGGACTGCTCTGATTGGTGAGGAGGGGAGGGGACAGAGGCTCAGCCTTTCACAGTGGTGACTCCCTGGAGACCAACATGTCAGTTATAGGGCTGGTTTGTGCTGGTTCCCTATCCCAAAAGCTGGTATCTGTTTTGGAGGGCCACTGGGTCCCTGTGCTTCTTGAGGACTCACATAGGCCCCACCAGTTCCCTTTAATGTCTTTGGATGAAGCCAAATAAATGATGTTTTACTCTCGAAGTCCTGGCTAGCCTCACCCCCTGCCCTCTGGCCTTTGATCTCTGACTTCACATCCTCTTCCAACATCCAGCTGGCTTCCTGTGGTGAAATTCATCGAGGAGCAATTTGAGCAGTACCTTAGGGATGAGAGCGGCCTGAACAGGAAGAACATCCAGGACTCCCGAGTCCACTGCTGCCTCTACTTCATCTCACCCTTCGGCCGGGGGTCTGGTGGGGGAATCCCGGGGGCTGGGGCATTTAGGGAGGGCTTGGGGCTGGGGGTCTTTGTGCCCTGAGGCTGGGCACTGACCAGTCCCTGGGTGCAGGCTCCGGCCCCTAGACGTGGCCTTCCTCCGGGCAGTACATGAGAAAGTCAACATCATCCCAGTCATTGGCAAAGCGGATGCCCTGCTGCCCCAGGAAACCCAGGCCCTCAAGCAGAAGGTGTGAGTAATGACCTCTGACCTTTAACCCAAGTGCAGCCGAAAGTCACCACCAATCATAACATTTCAGCTTAGACGTCTTTGATCTTGTAGTGGCCTTTTTGGAGCATGGTGTGTCAGGCTAGACTGTAGAAGCTTGTGAGAAAGGCAGGTGGTAAGCTGCCAGCGTAGCCCTGTCTCTGAAGGCTCAAAATAGGCTAGATATGCAGCCTCTGGGCTAGATGCTTGGCTAAGGCCTATTTGAGGGCAGGAGCATAGACACGAGGACATGGTGACTTCCCTCTGGCCCCTACCTTGTGTCTTCAGCACCCTTTCCTACTGTTTCTGCTTATGTCTCTCTTGGCCTCTGTCTTTTTTGTTTGTTTTGTGGAGATAGAGTCTCACTCTGTGGCCCAGGCTGGAGTACGGTGGCACACCACTGCAGCCTCAAACTTGTAGGCTCAAGTGATCCTCCTGCCTCAGCCTCTTGAGTAGCAGGGATTACAGATGTGCGCCACCATGTCTGACTAACTTAAAAAATACTTTTTTGGCTGGGCATGGTGGCACACACCTGTAATCTCAGCACTTTGGGAGGCTGAGGTTGGAGGATTGCTTGAGCTGAAGAGTTCAAGATCAGCCTAGGCAACATGGCAGAACCCCATTTCTACAAAAAGTACAAAAAATAGTCAGGTGTGGTTATGTGCACCTGTAGTCCCAGCTACTCCGGAAGCTGAGATGGGAGGATCACTTGAGCCTGGGAGATTGAGGCTACAATGAACCAAGATGGAGCCACTGCACTCCAGCCTGGGAGACAGAGTAAAAATTTGTTTCAAAAAATATACATTTTTTTTAAAGAGATGGGATCTAGCTATATTTCCCAGGCTTCTCCTGATCTCTTAATGTCTACCCCATCTTAGAATCTTGTTTCTCACCGTCTGTCTCTGAGGTTTTTATTTTGGTCTTCCTGTACGTCCATCTCTCCCCATCTGTATCTTTCATGTCTTTCTCTCTATCTCTCACCACCCAGTATCTCTGTGTCTCACTGTCTCTGGCCATGCAATGTTTGTCATTGTGGCCTGTTTCATACTGTCTCTGTATGTTTCCTGAGATCCGGGATCAGCTGAAGGAGGAGAAGATCCACATCTACCAGTTCCCTGAATGTGACTCTGACGAAGATGAAGACTTCAAGAGGCAGGATGCAGAGATGAAGGTGTGGGAGATGAAGGAAGGGGGTGCAGAGTGTGGTGGCTCACGCCTGTAATCCCAGCACTTTGGAGGCCAAGGCGGGTGGATCCTTTGAGGTCAGGAGTTCTAGACCAGCTTGGGCAACATGTTGAGACCCCTGCCTCTACTAAAAATACAGATATTATCGAGGGATAATGGTGGGCACCTATAATTCCAGCTAGTCAGGAGGCTGAGGCAGGAGAATCACTTGAACACTCCAGCCTGGGCAATGGATCAAGAAAAAAAAAAAAAAAAAAAAAAAGACCCGGTCTCAAAAAAGAAAAGAAATAGAAAAAGTTTAAAAAAAAAAAAAGAGGAAGGGGTGAGAAGCAGAGGAGGCGGGTGTGGAGGTTGAAGCTGGGGAAGAGTTTCTACCATGTGGGCCAGGAGTGACCCCTGCCCCCTGCCCTCCAGGATAGCATCCCTTTTGCAGTTGTGGGTTCCTGCGAGGTGGTGAGGGATGGCGGGAACCGACCAGTGAGGGGACGCCGATACTCTTGGGGGACCGTGGAGGGTGAGTGAGGACAAGCAGGGGTCCTGTGGCAGGAGGGAGCTTGGGGCTTCTGGGTCAGCCGCACTCAACATGTGAGGTTGGGGTGGATCCTAGGAGGAAAGAGGGGTCGTTGGGCTGCAGATTGTAGACCCTCCGATAGAGTGGCAGCAGGACTTCCTTGTAGACCCGACCCTGCGGGTGGGTTGGACTTGAAACTTCCTGATGTTCGCTGCTCCGCCGCCCCCTTCCCCCCTCCAACCTCCCAGTGGAGAACCCACATCACTGCGATTTCCTGAACCTGCGACGAATGCTGGTGCAGACACATCTGCAGGACCTGAAAGAGGTGACGCACGATCTGCTTTACGAGGGCTACCGGGCCCGCTGCCTACAGAGCCTGGCCCGGCCTGGGGCTCGAGATCGAGCCAGCCGCAGGTGAGAGACGGGGCCGACATTCTTGGAGCCTCCAAGGTCCTGCCTCACCCATGACCCGGTCCTCACAACTCGTGACCCCGCCTTCACCACTCAGACCTCTCACTCTACACCCCCTTTGCCTTCGGCCCTAACCTCAGGGACCTGGCTCCGCCTCCTAGACCCCAACCTCGCCCCAGGCCCTGCTTCCAGGGTCTCACTCACAACCTCAGGCCCGGTTCCTGATTCTTGACCCCTTCCCACTGCCCCGCAGTAAGCTTTCCCGCCAGAGCGCCACGGAGATTCAGCTGCCCATGATGCCTCTGGCGGACACCGAGAAGCTGATCCGCGAGAAAGACGAAGAGGTGAGCACGCACCTCGCTTCTCCCCGACCGAGGCCACAGATCCCTTTCTGGCCTCGCCCGGTCACCGCCTGCAATCTCCCCCCGCACAGCTGCGCCGCATGCAAGAGATGCTGGAGAAGATGCAGGCCCAGATGCAGCAGAGCCAAGCCCAGGACGAGCAGTCAGACGCCCTCTGAGGCCACGCCCCGCCCGGCCTACCTTCGGTTCCGCCTTCAGTCGGCCTCTTGTCCAATCCCCGCACCCCACACTGCCCAGCGCCTAATCCCGGACTCCCGCGGGTGCCGCCCTCGCGCTGGCTCGTGGGAGGTTCTCCCAGCCAGGATCAGAAGCCCCGCCCCTTCCCCGCCCAGCAAGACCACGCCCACTTCCCGGCCAGAGCCTGCAGCCCAGTCCCGGACTGCCGCACTGTCTTTCGGGGTCGTCTCTTCTCCCAGGCTCTGTCTTCAATAAAAACTGAGCTTCCTGCGGCCATGCGAGACTTCTCCTTCCTTGCGGAAACAAGCGGCAGCCGTAGATTGTAGGGCCGCCCCCCCCACAGGCCTCCAGGCCGCATCCCTCCATTTGTGGGGTGCTCCCTTAGGGGTGGGCCGCGTCTGGGCCCAGCCTCCTGCCTGAGGCCCTCGCGCAAACACACTAAACGCGTTGCCGATAAGAAAGAAAGACCAGTTGAATTTTATTGGGAGCCGCATGGGGGTCGGGCCGGCCGGAAGCGTCGGCCAGGGAGGCCCGCGGAGGCCCCTACTCCTGGTCCTTGGCGTCGCCGTGCGTGATGACGTAGCAGATGTTCTTGTAGTCAACGTTGCCGCCCACGTCGGGAGGGAAGGCAGCCCACATGTTCCTGATCTGGGGAAAGACGCAGTGGCGTCTCGCACCGGCCCTTAGGCTCCCCAGCCCCTGCCCCTTCAGTTCTCCTGCCCGACCCGCCCCTACTCACCTCCTCCTGGGAAAAGCGGTCACACTGCGTCGTCAGCAGCTCCTCCAGGCTGGAGAGAGGTGACACACGCGGAGTTGCGATTGGGTTCCTGGTTCCTTTCCACTCCCTCGCAGCTCATGCCCGTTGCCAGCCCCAGCCTCCCCAAAACCCGGTCACTCCCTTCATTAGCCTCCCTGAGGCTCGCTTTTGCCCTCTCCGCCCACATTTGCTGTGGAAATGCAATCTTACCGCCCATTACCACAGTCCTAACTACTCCGTTACCTCTGACAGTGCCTAACCCTTTGTAGGAATTTTTGTTTCTTTGTTTTGAGACAGGTCTTGCCCTGTCGCCCAGGCCGGAGTGCAGTGGTTTGATCATAGCTCACTGCAACCTGGAACTCCTGGGCTCAAAGGATCTAACTGCTTCGGCCGCCAGAGTAGCTGGGACTACAGGTGTTTGCCACCACGCTCGCGATTTTGTTTTGTTTTGATACAGTTTCACTGTTGTCTCCCAGGCTAGAGGGCAGTGGCTTCATTTCGGCTCACTGCAACCTCCGCCTCCAGGATGCAAGCGATTCTCATGTCTCAGCCTCCGGAGTAGCTGAGACTACAGGTGCCTGCTACCATGCCCAGCTAATTTTTATATTTTTAGTAGAGACTGGGTTTCACCATGTTGGCCACGCTGGTCTTGAACTCCTGACCTCACATGATCCGCCCGCCTCGGCCTCCCAAGGTATTGGGATTACGGAAACAAGCCACAGCGCCTGGCCAGCCCACGAATTTTTTAATTAAGTTTTTCAGAAACAGGGTCATGCTATGTTGCCCAGGCTAGTCTCAAACTCTTGGACTCAAGCCAATCCTCCTGCCTCTGCCTTCCAAACCACTGAGATTATATAAGCCTATCCTCCTGCCTCTGCCTTCCAAAATACTGAGCCACAGCGCCCTGCCTTGGTAGGAATTTAAAGGAGGCTTTCAGTGTGGGAGCAGCTGGTGGAGTGAGGGGAAGGCAGGAAAGGATTGGGGGACCAATGCTTACAACTGCTTCTTGATGGTGCCCTTTCCCTCGGGGTCCAGGACCTTGAAGGCTCCAGTGATCACATCCTCAGGGTCAGCACCTGTGGGGGTCAGAGGGCAGATGAAGCTGATGGGTCCCTGAAGGATCTGGGGAAAAGGCAGCTGGGGTCTTAGACACAGAACACTCCACTCACCCTTGAGCTTCTCCCCGAACATGGTCAGGAAGACAGTGAAGTTTATGGGACCGCTGGCTTCCTTCATCATGGCATCTAACTCCTCATTCTTCACATTGAGGCGGCCTGGTGGGGGAAGCATAGGCTAGAGTAGGCTTCTGAGGCCGGGGCTGTGCTTCCCACTAATTCAGACGATCCCATCCGTTTTTTCACCTGGGTAGACTGAGGCCCAAGGTGGAGCTGACAGGGCCTGAACCCAAGGCTACTGAATTTCCTCGACTCTGCAGCCCTGAATATTCCCGCCTGGGGTAGGAGGCTTACCCATGGCTGCGAAGGTGTCCCGAAGGTCCTCCTTGTCGATAATGCCATCACGGTTCTGGTCAATCACGGTGAAGGCCTGGGCAGGGCCGGGATGGGGAGGGTTAGGTCCCCCATGGCCCAACCTCAGCATCCCTACCCCAGGCGGATCAGATGCTGGCTCCCAGCCAGCTGTCCTCTTCTACCCCAAGCAGGGAGGGGAGGAAGGACTTCTAAACCTTTTCCCTCCTTCAAACAGGTGCACATTCCAGGGAGAGGGCGGGGGAGAGGGCTGCATTTGGTCAGCCTTTCAGTTTCCCCTGTCCCCTCACTCACCTCCTTGAACTCCTGGATCTGAGTCTGGTCAAACATGGAGAAGACATTGGAGCTTCCGCCCTCTACTGCCCTTCTCTTGGCTTTCTTGGGTGCCTGGAAGGTGAGGGTTGAACAAAGGGGCCCATGGACCAGTCTCTCCACCTCTCTGGGGGCAATAGATTAGATTCAGAATTCTTTGAGTCCTGGTTCCTAAAGCAACTCTTTGGCCTGAGTCTCCCCTTCCTTCGGACCTCTTTGCTGAGGGGACTTGCTTTGATTGCATTCCCCAAATTCCCATCTATGGCTCCTGGGCCTCTATCTCTTCATCCCCCACAATGAATGGAAGCTTCCTTCTCTTCTCAGTGTACTGAGCCAGGTTCCTCTGAGCCCCAGACTTGCTGTGTGACCCCAACCACTTATTTGCCCAGTTTGAGCCTCTACTTTCTTTTCCTTCCCTCCTTCCCTCCTTCCTTCCTTCCTTCCTTCTTCTTTCTTTATTTGTCCTGTCTTTCTGTTGTTTTTGGTTTTTTTTTTTTTAAGAGTCTCACTCTGTCGCCCGGGCTGGAGTGCAGTGCTTCGATCTCGGCTCATTGCAACCTCTGCTCCCGGGTTCAAGCAATTCTAACGCCTCAGCCTCTGGAGTAGCTGGGATTACAGGCATGCATCACCATACCTGGCTAATTTTTATATTTTTAGTAGAGACAGGATTTTGCCATGTTGGCCAGGCTGGTCTCAAACTCCTGGCTTCAAATGATCTGCCCACCTCAGCCTCCCAAAGTGCTGGTATTACAGGCAGAGCCACAGCACCTGGCCTGAACTTCTACTTTCTTATTTGTAAAATGGGATAGGAGTTATTGCCTGCGTGGTGCCAGAGGGCTTTAGGAAGATGGAGTGCAGGAACGATGGAACAGGTTTTGAAAGGGACTGGGCCCCTATGAGTTGAATGTCTGGGCAGATTATCATTGATTGGATCCTTTAGGCTATTACACATTCTATTTTGCATCAGTGATGCTGAGAAAGTGATAACCATCCTTTTAACTTTTTGTTGGACTGGGAACCGGCTACTTTCTTTCAAAGGCTGAGGCTGTCCTGAGGTCTAACGGATTTGGGGAGGGGTTGGAGGATTGTCACTCACCATGTCTTCAGTCTCCGGGGGGCAAGGCAGTGGCTCTGGTGTGAAAGAAGCAGGGAGTCAGCACGGGGCAGTCCCTCTGGGGTTATATAGTCCTGCCCCAGGGAGCCCTTAACATACCAAGGTAACCTTAGCCCTGTGGGTACCCACCCCAGATACCAAAATAGCCCAGCTCAAGGCCTCTCCTTTCTTGGAGGGCCTGCAACAGCTGGAGCCCAGGGGGAGCGGGTGGGGGCGGGGGGAAGCAGGTCTTGGGATGCATGTCTCACTAGGGCCTGGGCAAGAAGGGATATTGTTTCCCCCAAAGAGGGGCTGGAATGTACCAGAGTTTAGGGTGGACCCAACCCAAGGCAGCGTTCTGGGAGAGAAATGAGCCAGATCCTATACTCCCGTGTGGGGTCGGGGGGCTCACATTTAAACCCAGTAAACTTCCGGGTGCAGTGGTTCACACCTATAATTCCAGCACTTTGGGAGGCTGAGGCGAGAGGATTGCTTGAGGCCAGAAGTTCAGGACCAGCCTCCTGGCCAACATAGTGAGACCACTGTCTTTTTTTTTTCTTTTTTTTGAGACATAGTCTCGCTCTGTTGCCCAGGCTGGAGTGCAGTGGTGCGATTTCAGCTCACTGCAACTTCTGCCTCCCAGGTTCAAACATTTCTCTTGCCTCAGCCTCCCAAGTAGCTGGGATTACAGTTGTGCACCATCACGCTCCGCCAATTTTTTTTTTATTTTTAGTAGAGACCAGGTTTCACTGTGTTGACCGGGGTGGTCTCGATCTTCTGACCTCATGATTCACTCACTTTGGCCTCCCAAAGTGCTGGGATTACAGGCGTGAGCCACCATGCCTGTTCCCCTGTCTCTATTTTATTTATTTATTTGAGACAGAGTTTCACTCTTGTTGCCCAACCGATCTTGACTCACCACGACCTCTGCCTCCTGGGTTCCCCTGCCTCAGCCTCAAGAGTAGCTGGGATCACAGGCATGTGCCACCACACTGAGCTAGTTTTGTATTTTTGGTAGAAATGGGGTTTCACCATGTTGCCCAGGCTGGTCTCGAACTCCTGACCTCTGGTGATCTGCCCTCCTCAGCCTCCCAAAGTGCTGGGATTACAGGCATGAGCCACTGCTCCTGGTCCTCTATTTTAAATTAATAAAATAAACCCAGTAAACATGTATTGTATGCACAGTGTGTCACGTGCTAGGCCAGGCTTTGTGGGTGCCCTTTGGCAGACACAATCCCTCCACCTCCACATGGTGGACTTCATAGTCAAATGTATGTAAATGTGGAGGTAGTGGGAAAGAGCCATCTGTGGAAGCTGGGGGATCAGCTACCTCCCTTCAAAGAGAGGGGAATTTTTGCTTTTTTGAGATAGAGTCTTGCACGTCACCCAGGCTGGAGTGCAGTGCGTGATCTCGACCCACTGCAACCTCCGCCTCTCGAGTTCAAGTGATTCTTCTGTCTCAGCCTCCCAAGTAGCTGGGATTACAGGCACATGCCACCACATCCGGCTAATTTTTTGTATTTTTAGTACAGATAAGATTTCACCATGTTGGCCAGGCTGGTCTTGAACTCCAGACCTCAGGTGATCCACCCACCTCGGCCTCCCAAAGTGCTGGGATTACAGGTGT